GCGATTTTCGAGAATCGCAACAATTGACGTAGTTTTCTCTGTTACTAAAAATTAGTTTAAAGCTCCACATGAACTGCAAAAACTGAAAATTTATTGTGTTATCCTTCAGTAGGAACACAAGGATTTTTCCTGCCATTGAAAAACCATTCATTTCATTATCTTAAAGGGCAAGTTATTTGGATTCCTATGGGAACAGAAAGGAGCGACGGTTATTCAGAGAATGGACGGAAAGCAACTTTGCGCTAGGGAGCGACAAGAAAGCACCAAGGCTGAAATGTTCTTAACGACTGGCACTAATTTTTCTTCGCAATCCCAAAATTCGCAAAACTGCTCCTTATTATTTCAAGTTTGAGCCAGACTTTTTTTAGGTAGCGTCCTTTCAGGTAGACTGTTTCAGTGAAGAAAATTGAGACCCAATCGGAACTGGAGGTTTGAGTGTCGAAAAGCTTGGCTGGAAAACTTGAAAAAAGATAGCTCATATCTTATCGGCAGTCCACTGTCGAATGAGATTTGTCTGCTTATTTGAAAACTAGTCCTCAAACGGAAAATAAAACAGCGAATAAATAAAAATGTAATCATGAATATAATAAATGTGTTTAACTGATAAGTTTTTAGGTAGATGTATATTTGACAGTGAATGGTGCACAAATATCCAACGACATTTTACGGGCATCAATCACCCTCGAGCAGACATGGCCGGATACACGATTATTATTCAAAGGCGTGTCAGAAGTACCGGTAAGTCGATACGATGAGTGATTGAAGGAGTTATACTAGGATTAAGCGGCGACTACTTGCTATGCGTGAAGCCATGTGTGACCCTACGAGCAGTGCCGCGTGCGTTTGCAGTGCGGCTCTGCAAGCCAGATATGTCTTAAGCGAGCATAAAGGAATAGTATATCGCTGTTACAGAACCTCTTGGTGATCTGAACACAACGCATCGCAAGAGTTCGTAAGTACTACTAGATAAAGCTCGCTCACGGTCACAAGGTTAAGGGAAACATCTTTCAATTCACTGCACTTTTTTTGCTATCTTTGGGGTCCGTTGAAGACTTTGTGAAAACTTGGGGCCTCTGATTGAGCGTTCAAAGCCAGAAATATCTAGTGTTCCTAATCCATACCAAAATCATTGTCAGCGCATCGCCCTGCCGCGGGCGGCATGTAAGCCCGCCCAACACGGCTATGTGAAATCCTATGAAGGTTCGCTCAATTTGCTCATAGACATCAACTCGTCCTTATTCAGTTACCGTCCAATGTTCACCTGTGGCTACCCGACACGGTGATCATCAATGCCTTGAGCAGTGACACGAGGATGACGTCATCGTTTCTCAACTACGACGGAACGGTGCGCAGACGGCAGTTGCTTTCTATCAAGGTTCCATGTGAGGAATCGCCCACACACGATCGAGAGGTGAGAACAACAATGCATCTTTCATCCCTAGATACCACGCCTTGTTCGAGGAAACCCCGCCCACATTGTTCTTTGGCCTGGAGTGATGACGTGCGTATGCCAGGCCAATGTGCTTTTGCATTTGGCCTCATCCCAACGACATTTCCCGGTGTCGAAGTCGCTGCCGTAATTCACGGGTGACAATCCCAAGTGAACACATTGTCGCGGCTTATGCGGCAAACATGGTGTGAAGGTCGATAGGTACAGTTTTTACATGTACCTCTCTTTTGAGGCCTAAAGACACATCTCGCAATGATAAGATAAGCACAGGAAAGGGAGGGAATTCATAAACATTAAGCCTTCCTTATTGACGCAACTCTTGTTTACAGTAGAAGGGGCGCTCAAGTGAAGACAAAACAATGGTGATGGGCCTCCGCCTAGTGATGAGTCCCTGCCCATCCGATTATCGCGGAATGTGATTCTGAGACGACGAAACTGAAACTGACAAGATATAATATAATCTGAAAACCCTACAATGGTGTTTTGTTGAATTTTTAGCCCTGTACATTTTTCAGGTCATGGAGTGTCCGATAGAGCTGACCAGTTTCAGTAACCGTGGCGTTGACCGGATCACCTATAACCTCACGCATACTGCCCTCGATCGAGTATCGCGGTTCATGAATAGCTCCGTCACTTCCGAAGCACTTCAAGAACATCACAATCGGACGTCACATTTGGTGACAGTTTTGTTGTCTATACAAAAACCTCATCATATTCTTGGGGATCTAATTGAAAGTGTCCAAAGCTGCGACATCACTTGAGCATCACTAAATAGCTATTTTTGACAATAAGCTTTAGTCTCCAATCTCTTCAAGCCTTGTAAATGTATGGTTTCGACAGCGCAGTCCACACTGATCGTAGGAGAGAGTGGAACCTATGCCTGACACATTCATGCTTCTGAACGTGGAGGTGAGCAACACAAGGAAACGCAATGGTCGGCTCTCTCTGCCCATACCTCCGATCAACTTTGCACTGTGCCCTTGAAGAATTGCACTGTTTTTAAGAGCACATTATGTGAATGTTCGCTGTACAGAATTATATAGAAGCCACTAATCGACCAATGGAAACGAAAATTCTTGAAAAACTGGTGATTATACCAAGAAGAATCACTATCCATCATCCTAGGCGTCGAATGCTGATCCTGACCCCACTATACGAACGCTGAGCTATGAGCTTATACTCCTGACCAACAATGACATGTGCTTCGGGTTTACTTGCTGCATACTTATTTTCCTATAAGTTCATTTTTTCTCCTATGAGAGCGGCACTGTGAGAAATCTATGATGCACCGTGAGACCTTTTCAAGAGTAGAACGCAGTTACTGACAACTAACTCATCAGAAATTGTTCATCTGTGTCAGCTTTTCAATCGCTTTCTATTGTAAACTGTTTCGCACTGATAAATCTTACTTGCAGTTGTGGATACTTGTAAAGTTTCATATTCAATGGGGAATAACTGCTAAAATGTACTATCATACCATCGTCACTGTAAGGGATCCTGCCGCAAAGGTGTAAAATGGCGCAGAATGGACCTTCCCAAGTTCGTACAGGTAACAATCCTGTAAATATGAACAACGATGCTCCTCGAAGTTGGCTGCACTGATTGTAAGAACCAGCACCTACCAAGTGTTAGGAAAACGGAAATTCTCCAGAATTTTGAATCGGCGTAACAGTTGAATCGATATGCAAGAAGAAGTATCGTATATTGAGGCAGTGGAGCCTCAATACAGGGGGGGGGCAAAAAAAGTCACTTCGACCGAGTCACATATCAGCAAAGTTTTCGCAGCCCAGACAGAGGACGTGGATACGAGTACCAGGGCGGAAGATACCCAAGATGTTCCTCGATAAGCAGGAGCTGGCTCTCGCCCATCACCTTCATGTACACCAAAATATGAAGTCATCTCCAGTCGCAGCCTGACTGGAGAAGACCTTTGGAATTCATGTCACTGCGAAACTTCTAGTATGGAGTCACCCAGATAGCTACCTGGAGACCAGTACTCTCGATCTGGAAGACCTCCAACATCGAGCAGCTCCGACAACGTCGCCACGGTCTAGGACATCATCTTCACCGCAGTCGCCAAGGCGCGGGTGATGGTATGGACCTGAGTACCTGGAATGGAAAGACCGATATTTTCTTCGTGAACCCCGGACTGAAGGTGAGCGCTGGCGTTACATCGAGCAACTCGAGAGAATATCCTCCTCACATGTCGTCGCCCGTACCTTCTTGGAAACTTTGTACTGCTACAGGATTGGGAAAACTCTTGCCTACTTGGAATGGAAGGGCGTTGAGTACCTGAAGAAGATGGAATATCTAAGTAGGTCACCTGACCTAAACCCCCTCAATTACCGGTTCGGGCGGAGCTCAACAGGGTGGTCTACAGTGGCGGAGAAATCAACGATCTCGCTGAACTCAGGTACCGGTCGCGTGGCAGAATCTCTCGATGGCGCTCCTCCAGAAGGCTGTGGCGGAGTATCATGATAGTATTTAATATGCTCTTTAATATGGTGGTAGAAATGTCCGATCAGAATTTGATAAAGTGTAACTTATAGCGCCTCGAAAGTCAAGGAAGAAAAGTGACTTTTTTTGCCCCCCCCCCCCCTGTATGTCTCAAGAACCGTAAACAAGCACAAGTGACCTTTGGTCTCCGGGTAACCGGACTATCCGAGCGCTTCGTAGAGTGGTGGGCAAGCTGATAAATGTGGGTCCTGCCAATCACAAGAACGACGGTATGGGTGCTATCGTCACCCGCCGCGGTAGTGGTACGACCGCCACCACTGCCGCCCAAGGTACTTGCTCGCTATTAGAAAGAACTTCACATCTAGCCGCAGAGTCTGCCTTCAGTGTAGGGCCACCCCTCTGTATTCGAGAGGAGTAACACCTTTGCCGTTCTCGAGAAAGATGTCATTGCCATGCCACAGTGCTCAATTGAGATCAGTGCCTGGATGCTGGAGATATTTTATTCGGATGTAGGAAATACACTGGTTGAACCACACAAAGATAACTGCTCGTCCAACATTCTGGGTGCGCAGCTGAACGTAACTACCTTCTTTATCCCTGAGACGGTCTACGGACAACTTGAATTTAATCCCTTTGAATGCGTCGAACATCTCTTTTTCTCTGCACCCTCTCGTCCTTGTTGCATTCTGTGCTCATTGTGACCTCACATATTCCAGTTTTTCACACATGGTAAGTGGCTCACCCACCCTGGAGTCCCCTCCCCTTGAAAAATCCCGCTTCCTGGCTCGCCATACGTTTTTGGCACGTTTCGATGCTTTGGCAGCCGCTGCCCTCTATCCGTCTGCGTCACAGGG